CTGCCTGAGCACATAGTAGCTGCCCCAGAGCTAACTGACAGGTGATCATGACAGGAGGACGCGATGCGGAACGTCCCAAGAGACGCGACAAGCGACGTCCCAAGGAACTTGCCATGGTGACGCACTGCGGGACGTGCCAAAGGGACGCGCTACGGAACGTGCCAATGAACGTGCCACCTTATGCTAAACATCCGCCTGGGCGAACTGGACACGTGAAAACAAGTGGTTCGCTCGAGACATCCTCAGCACATCTTCATGTCAGACGTCCGTTCCAGGCCCCCAGGAAGGCCCCAGGAAGCCCATGTTAGATACCCTAGGTGGCCTGGGCACGTGAAAACACATGGTTCCGCCATGTTAGAATACCACCCTGGGCGGCCTGGACACGTAAAAACACGCGGTTCCGATTCGGGACAATCATGTCAGATACCCCCTGGGAGGCCTGGACACGTAAACACACGTGGGACCAGCTATGGGCAACCATGTTAGATACACCCCTGTGGCCTGGACACGTTAAAACACTTGTTTCAAGCTCGGGGCAACTATGTTAGATGCACCCTGGGTGGCTTGCACACGTAAAACAAACACGTGGTGCCAGCTCGGGACAATCATGTTAGATATCACCCTGGGCGGCCTGGACACGTAAAACGGGACCAGCTCTGGACAATCATGTTAGATACACCCCTGGGTGGCCTGGACACGTTATAACACGTAGTTTTTGCTCGGGGTAACTATGTTAGAATTCCCCCTGGGTGGCTTGGACACGTAAAAACACGTGGTGCCAGCTCGGGACAATCATGTTAGATACCACTCTGGGCGGCCTGGACACGTAAAAACACGTGGTTCCAGTTCGGGACATTCATGTTCTATACCACACTGGGTGGCCTGGACACGTAAAAACACTTGGATCCAGCTCAAGACAACCATGTCTGGACACGTTAAAACACGTGTTCTTGGCTCGGGACAACCATGCTAGATACCCCCCTGGGTGGCCTCGACGCAAAAATTACGCAGCCCCTGCACTCCCAGGGCCACGATCCCTAGTAACTTAGGCGGCATCCGCGCTCCCAGGGCCAGGATCCCTTATAAATTACGCGGCGTCCGCGCTCCCAGAGCCGCGATCCCTAGTAAATCCGCCGACCCTGTCGGCGTGTGTGAGGGGCTTTTCCGTTCGAGCCGTCATCTCCGTTATTCTTTGTACTCGTCGTCTCTGTCCTGCGCCCCAGCCGCCCGAGCCGCGCCCGAGCCGCTCGAGCCAAGCTGACCTTGAGCAACGTCGTAATTCAGTCGAAGGGAAGCCCCTTCCCTTTGATCCCTCCCCCGCCGGGAAGGGGGGGGGGTAGCGGGGGGGGTAGCGACCCCCCCCGGGGTCAGATACGACGCCCCCCCCCCGACCCGTCGTAATTCAGTCGAAGGGAAGCCCCTTCCCTTTGATCCTCCCCCGCCGAGGGGGGGGGGGGGTAGCGGGGGGGTAGCGACCCCCCCCCCCGGGTCAGATACGACGCCCCCCCCCGTACCGACCTAGCAACGTCGTAATTCAGTCGAAGGGAAGCCCCTTCCCTTTGATCCCTCCCCCGCCGGGAGGGGGGGGGGGGTAGCGACCCCCCCCCCGGGTCAGATACGACGCCCCCCCCCGTACCGACCTTGAGCAACCTCGTAATTGAGTCGAAGGGAAGCCCCTTCCCTTTGATCCCTCCCCCGCCGGGAGGGGGGGGGGGTAGCGGGGGGGGTAGCGACCCCCCCCCGGTCAGATACGACGCCCCCCCCCCGTACCGACCTTGAGCAACGTCGTAATTCAGTCGAAGGGAAGCCCCTTCCCTTTGATCCCTCCCCCGCCGGGAGGGGGGGGTAGCGTGGGGGGGTTAGCGACCCCCCCCCCGGGTCAGATACGACGCCCTCCCCGTACCGACCTTGAGCAACGTCGTAATTGAGTCGAAGGGAAGTCCCTTCCCTTTCCCTTCCCCGACGGGAAGGGGAGGGGGGGTCCCGGGGGGGGTCCCAGGGGAGTCCCGGGGAAGTCCCGGGTCAGATACGACACGTCCCTCCCCCACCTTCTCGTCCTTCTCCCCGTTCCCCAAAACCATCCCACAGCCCGTGCCTCTTGCTGCGCATTGCGAACAGGGTCGGCGGCACCGGCCGTAAGGCCTTCGCAATTACGCTGGGTTTGCACTCCCAGAACCCCCTGGGCATTCTTGAGCGCCCAGACCCGTTAAATTTTGTAAAACGAGCGTTTCGCTCGAGACATCCCCAGAATTTCTGCGCGCAGGACGCGCCATCCTCTAGCGGGCACGCAAAACAATCAGCATTTTCATATTTTTTGTGTCCTGGTCGGGGCTCCAGACCTAAGTCTTGTTTTGAAGATTCTGCTAAAAACGCCCCGCACCCTCTTTTATACAAGGGAAAACGGGCGTCTGCAGACACCGTTATTTATGGAGGATCCGAGATGGGGGGCTCGAGCAGGCACGCGAAAAACGCACTAGTTCAACTGAACATTCACACTTTACCTTGTAATTTATCGCAGAATTAATTTCACCGGCCCACTTTCCGTAGGGGCCGGGAGGTTGACCTACTAAAAGAGAACCCTGGGCCCGAGCCCTTTCCGGGAAAAAAGAACCCTGGGCCCGCGCCCTTTCCGGGAAACGCTGGGGGCACTTTGGGCCAGGTGCACCTTTGGCAACCCCGACTCCCCGGCGCACGGAGCGCGCCAGGGGCGTCCAGCGCAGATCCAAGAAATCCGCGTGGAGCGTGTGCCCTGAGATCCCACGTCACGAACAAAAATAAGACATAGTCACAAATCACGACCGCCACCTCTGTGCGAGCTGGGTTGATCTGTGAGGGCCCAGGGTCCGGAACTGGACGAAGTCGTCTGACTCGAGACAAAGATTGAGGCGCCCAAGCCTCCAGGTAGAGTCAAGCCGCATGATAGATGGGCATCCTTCCCAAGGGTATCCTTGCATCCTTGCCCCTCTGGCCCATCATTAACGACTTTCGCTGGCCAACCTCGTTCGAACATGATCGACCCACGAACCCAGAAAGGAATATAGACATGTAAGACATGGCAACGTTTCAAAAACACCTCATTGGGCGACGGACAAATGCAGTGATGAGTGTATCGATCTTGAAGTACCGTGCCGAATGCTGTGCTGTGCCGCGATTGTGCTCTATAGCGTTGTGGATCGAGTCCTCCTTTGCATCCGAGTCCTGACCGATCTGATCTGGGTCGTAAGCTCGAGCTGCCTGAGCATATAGTAGCTGCCCTACAGCTGATTGGCAAGGAGACATTCTAGGAAGACGCGCCGCGGAACGTCCCAGGGGACACGCCAGGCGACGTGCCAGGGGACGTGCCATGGGGACGCACCGCGGGACGTGCCAAGGGGACTCGCTGCGGAACGTGCCAATGGACGTGCCACGGGACGTGCTAAGGGACGCGCCGCGCAACGTGCCAGGGGGACTCGCCACGGAACGTGCCAGGGAACGTGACAAATTGCAATGCTGAGTGTATCGATCTTGGTGTACCGTGCTGAGGGCTGTGCTGTGCTGCGCCGTGCTGAACTGCGATGTGCCATGCCGCGATTGTGCTCTATGGCGTTGTGGATCGAGTCCTCCTTTGCGTCCGAGTCCTGACTGAACTGATCTAGATCTGACGCTCGAGCTGCCTGAGCACATAGCAGCTGCCCCAGAGCTAATTGACAGGGGAACATGCCAGGAGGACGCGCCGCGGACCGTCCCAAGGGACGCGCCAGGCGACGTTCCAGGGAACATGCCATGGGGACGCACCGCGGGACGTGCCAAGGGGACGCGCTACGGAACGTGCCAATGGACGTGCCACGGGACGCGCTCCCAGGGCCACGATCCCTCGTAAATTATGCTGCGCCCGCGCTCCCGGGGCCACGATCCGTCGTAAGTTACATTGAGGTCGTGCTTTCAAGGCCCCGACCCCTTTTAAATTACGCTGCGTCCGCGCTCCCGGGGTCACGATCCCCCGTAAATTACACTGCGTCCGAGCCCCCAGGGCCCCGATCCCTCGTATCTTACGCTGCGCCCGCGCTCCAAGGGCCACGATCCTTCGTAAATCACGCTGCGTCCGAGCTCCCAAGGCCCCGACCCCTAGTAAATCACGCTGCGCCCGCGCTCCGAAGGCCACGATCCCTTGCAAATTACGCGTGGTCCGCGCTCCAAACGCCACGATCCCTCGTAGATTACGCCGCGTCCGCGCTCCCAGGGCCTCCTGGGGCATGCTGGGGCGCCCAGGTCCCTCAAGTTTTGCAAAACAAGCGTTTCGCTCGAGACATCCTCGATTTTTTGGCGCCAGGGGCGCACCATCCTCGAGCGGGCACGCAAAAACTCGTGTGTGGCCAAGGAAATCATGGAAAAACAAATGAATTAGTCAAGACATCCTCGAAATTCATGCGCGCGGGACGCGGCGCGCTGGAGACGTCCTCGGAATTCCTGCGCGCGTGGCGCTTTTCCGCGTCGCGGTCGGGGCTCCAGACCTTTTTTTTTTTTTTGTTTTTTTTTTCTTCTCTTCGAAGATTCTGCTAAAAGTGCCCCGCACCATCTTTTTTGCAAAGGAAAACGGGGGTCCGCGGACCCCATTATTCATCGAGGATCCGAGGTGGGGGGTCGACTTTCCTCGAGCAGGCACGCGCGAAACGCATTTTTTTTCACGCCGAGTTGGACTTTACCTCGTTTTTTATCGAGCGGAAATCCGCCGGACCTCTTCTGGGGGGAATAAACAAACTAAAAGAGCACCCTGGGCCCACGCCCTCTCGGATAAAAACATTAACATGGCCCTCCAGGGCCCTTGTGTCCTTATCTCGCATCCTTATTATACGGGTTCGCTGTAAGGAACGGCCCGGAAGCCAGAGCCCGAAGCTAGAGGCCTCCTGCTTAGATGGGATCCGAGGTGGGTCGGAGGATCGCGCCGCGTCGCCGATGCATCGGCGATGCGGCTCGATGTGGAGCCCGACTTCATCCCCGCCAATGTCAAGCCGGCCGCGCGCCTTGGGGCTGCCGGCCGGCTCCGCGGGGTCGTCCACGACGCTCGCGATTGCGCAGCTCGTCCGCGACGCTTCTTCATCGTCGTCGTCCTCCTTGCAAGACGACGGCGGTTCCGGCCTGACCTCCTTGCTGACGCCCTGGTCCGACGCTTCGATGTTAAAGGGCGAAGTCGAGGGAGGCCGCGCGGCGCCGCTCGAGGTCTCGCTCGAACACATATTTTTAATTTCTGTGTGGCACCTCACCTCGCCCACGACCTCTGGGCAACAACTCCTGGGAAGTCTTCGTGAGAAAGATCCGGGGCTATTAGGCGCGGTTGAGGGGCCGTTGGGCCGTGTTAGGCCGGGGATTGAGCTGAATTCAACGGGACAAAGCCGGATTCAACAACATTGACTCGGACTTGACGGGGTTCAGCCGCATTGGGCTGGTCTTCGGCCACGAACGTACCAGTGTCGATGCTGAGTGTAACCTCCCAGGAATTGCATCCGAAGACCTGGAGGCAGAAGTGCACGTCAGGCCCCGTGACCTCGTAGGGGATGAGGCGGGCGTCAAACTCCTGCACTGGCGCGGACTCCCAGGAGGCTCTGCTGCACAGGGTGGCCAGGAAGACCTCGGAGGGCTCCCCAGTGCTCTGCCTGCACCAGCGCTGGACCAGGTCCCAATCGTCCTCGCAAACCACACGACTGAACGGAGCCCCGACCGAGTCAAGCCCGAGCAACTCAATGGCACCTCCGCACACGCTGACAATAATGCCATTGCTCCTGTTCACAACCATCTGCCCGTCAGTTGAGACGCTCATATGCTTTTGCAGCTTGTTGAAATGAATTACAGTCTGCCATTCGAGCGTAACGATCATTGGCATGACCAGAATTACTGTGCATATGAGCAGGTCTCGGGAGACGGTGCCCATCTGCCGCGGATCCACGGCGATGAGTAAGCACGTCGTGAGGGCGAACTGTGCGACGAAGAGGCTGTGCAAGCCAATCGCCCACATCATGCAGAGGATGAAGGGGCAGCAATTGAAGCCGATCACTGCGTCGACAGGAAGGCTCCTGCCGTTCATCCACCAAGCTGGCGTCCACGCGGTTACCAGAAAGAAATCAGATGCCAACGATGCCCTCGGCAACCATCTGCTTATGATAGATATCACTGTCAGGTACACCATCGTTTCGGCAAACAACGGTCCCCAAGTGCTGGTGTCGACAACTCCCAAACACATCAGCAACAACCACATTAATGTGAAAACTACCATTGGGTATGGCCGTCGGCTCGGAAGAAGGTTCCAAGAAGAAAGTCCAGGCCCTTTCTTATTGGGGGACTAACTGGCCTGGGTCAACGTTAACCCGTGTCAGCCAGGACCATGTCGCGAACACGAGCCGGCCACGAAGTAGCTCCCAGACCCAAGACCTCAGCGGAGGGAGTGGAGGGGGGCTCAGCTCCACACGGCTCAGGACTCCCAAACAAACCAGGGCCAGCCAGAAAGGATGTAAAGGGATTGGCTGACCCCCTCTCCGTGTGCCCCGATTCGCCCTCTCCGTCTGCCTTGGGTAAGCATTCCACCCGCAAGGCCTGGCCCCCTCCATTCCTTCGGGCGACTTCCCGCCCGTCCCGTCGACTTCTTCGCTGGTTCTGGGACGTGGCACATTTTTTTGCGTCGGCGGATAGGCAAGGGTCGTCTGCGCTGGCGGAGTGAGCTAAACTAAACGGGGGCGCCGGTGTAGCGCATTGGCCGGCATGCAAGAGCTGCAAAACGGGACAATGCAAGGGGGACGCACGGACACGGGAAGTGAGCTCAGCAAGACCCCACCCCAAGAAAAAACCAGACACGCCGCGCCCCGGCTGGGACTCCTGCGCAGCCCGGCACACTTCGCGATCCACGGCCTCCGTCCGTTCAGCCTCCGTGCTCGGGCCTGCGCTGTCGATCCGCTCTAGGGAGAAGGGCCCTGAGGGAAACGGATTCTGGACCCCGGGGGGGCTTGCCCTAAGACCAGCGCTTCTCTCTGACTACAGGCGGGCCGCCGAAATAAGGAACGCCAGATGAGGAACGAGGCCCGTTTTGGGCCCCCCAAGCGCCTGCGTACACGAAGAGGGCTTGAGGAATAGCCGTGCAAGGACCTCAGGCACAGCGAGCCCCTTCCGAACCCCAATTTTGCCCCCTTCGAACCCGAGCTGCTCATTATTTTGTCAGCGTCTAGGCTGCAGCTGCTGCTGGGCGGTCCCAGGACCCGTGGCAGGCCCTTGGAGCCCCCGGCGGCGAGGCATCTCGGGACCCGCTCCCCTCGGGACCCCTGGCAACCTCTGCCCTCGGGGTTGAGCGCGAAGTACAATCGGACCTAGGCCAGGAGAACATCCTGCGAGAACATGAGACCCTCCGTCGGCCAAAACGCACAGAACATCCAAGGGTACCATCCCCAGGGTACATAAGATCGTCCAACAAACACGAAGAACACTAGGGTACTCTCCCCGAACCGATCTCGATCTTCTACCTCGGTCCGACTGTATTGGGGGGGCAGCGGGGGCTGCAGAGAATGGGCCCTTCAGGGCCCCGAAGGGGGCTCCTTCTGGCCCCGAGGGGAGGCCTCTAGGGCCCGAGAAGGGCAGCTTTCTCTTCCGCCCCCCCCCCCTTATCGCCCCCCATTCATTCAAAGGGGCCCCTTCGGACCCAGAGGCCGAGAAGGACACCTTTCCCTCCCCCCCATCTATCGCCCCCCATTCACTCGCGCCCAACGGGTGCTCTCCCTCCGAGCCGCCAGATACGGGTAGTACCTCCAGAAGACCCGCCGACTGAGCGGCGACGCGAGCCACGCCCTGTCGGTGGTCAGACGCCACCACCTTGGACGTCCCCCCCCCCTCGGAAGAGGACGAGAGGAGGGGCTGGCCTTCTTTGGCAGAGGAGTCAAACACACGAGGGGGGGGGGGACGTGAGAAGGGGCCGGCATTGTTTGATAGAAGAGTCAAAGACAGCATGTGCATGGGCTTTCGGAGGTCTGCGCGGATATCTTGGATCGGCGCTGGGCGCCTCTCTGTAGCGTGTGGAACGCGGCAGGAGCGGCGCTGGACGCATCGCCAGGGGTCCAGCGCCGTCCCAAACAATCCGCGAGGATATCCGAACGTTTATGATTATGCATTTTCAGCCGGGAGATGCTGCCGGCCGGGAGATCCAACCCGCGGGCGGCCGAAGTGCGGTATGCATTTTCAGCACGTCCGAAATATGGGGTTGTTGTTTGTGCAATACCTTCCCCTCCTGACCCCACCTCAGCCGCCTCCTCCTCCCCCGCGATAGTCAGACTTCCTCATATTGACATCCACCCGCACTCAGCCTCACACTGACTCAGACTCATTCACACTTAGAATGACTCACGTGCACTTGTACGCAGATTCGCTCGTACTCATAATCATTCGCACTCAGATGCACACTTACTAAAACTCATTCATACTCAGACTCACACTCATATTCAGATCCACGCGCACTCAGACTCACTCTTGCTCAGACTCACTCATGATCGGACTCACTCAATGACACTTTCACTCGCGCTCAGATGCTCAGATCCAATGGCAAGCATCGCACTTGGGCCTGGTACCACCACGCGGTGGGGTTTTTAAAAAAGCACTTGGGCCTGGTACCACCACGCGGTATTGCACGTACCTGGTCGTGCCCAGATTGGTGGGACCTTTCAGGTATAACGCCCGTTGGGGTCGGTGGACGTGTCTTAGCGTCAGGTCGGGTATGTCCTCCTACAAACGGATTGTGGAAGAAACATGAAAACATGATCGACCCACGAACCCGGAAAGGAATATAGGTATGTAAGGCATGGCAACGTTTCAAAGACACCTGATTGGGCGACGGGCAAATGCAATGCTGAGTGTATCGATCTTGATGTACCATGCCGAAGGCTGTGCTGTCCAGCGCCGTGCTGAGTTGCGATGTGCCATGCCTCGATTGTGCTCCATAGCGTTGTGGATCGAGTCCTCCTTTGCATCCGAGTCCTGACCGAACTGATCTGGATCGTAAGCTCGAGCTGCCTCAGCACATAGTAGCTGCCCCAGAGCTAATTGACAAGGGGACATGCCAGGAGGACGCGCCGCGGACCGTCCCAAGGGACGCGCCAAGCGACGTGCCAAGGGAAGTGCCACGGGGACGCACCGCGGGACGTGCCGAGGGGACGCGCTGCGGAACGTGCCAATGGATGTGCCACGGGACGCGCTCCCAAGGCCACGATCCCTCGTAAATTACGCTGCGTTCGCGCTCCCAGGGCCACGATCCCTCGTAAATCATATTGGGGTCGCGCTCCCAAGGCCCCGACCCCTTGTAAATTACGCTGCGTCCGCGCTCCCAGGGCTACGATCCCTCGTAAATCACGCTGCGTCCGTGCCCCCAGGGTCCCGATTCTTGGTATTTTACACTGCGCCCGCGCTCCAAGGGCTACGATCCCTTGTAAATTACATTGCGTCCGAACTCCCAAGGCCCCGACCCTTCGTAAATTACGCTGCGCCCGCGCTCCGAGGGCCACGATCCCTCGCAAATTACGCATGGTCCGCGCTCCAAACGCGCGATCCCTCGTAGATTACGCCGCGTCCGCGCTCCCAAGGCCTCCTGGGGCTTGCTGGGGCGCCCAGGTCCCTGCAAAACAAGCGTTTCGCTCGAGACATCCTTCACTTTTTGGCGCGGGGGGCGCACCATCCTGGAGCGGGCACGCAAAAACTCAACACTTTCACGGACATCCGGAAAAACAACATAATTAATCGAGACATCCTCTGAATTCCTGCGCGCGCGGAGCTTTTCCGCGTCGCGGTCGGGGCTCCAGACATCGTTTTTCGTGGAGGATTCTGCTAAAAGTGCCCCGTACCATCTTTTTTACAAAGGAAAACGGGGGTTCGCGGACCCCATTATTCATCGAGGATCCGAGGTGGGGGGTCGACTTTCCTTGAGCGGGCACGCGCGAAACAATTTTTTTCACGCCGAATTGGACTTTACCTCTTTTCTCATCGAGCGGAACTCTGCAGGCCCTCTTCCGGGGGGGATCAACCAACTAACAGAGAACCCACGCCCTTTCCGGGAAATAGTAACATGATCGACCCATGAACCTGGAAAGGAATATAGACATGTAAGGCATGGCAACCGCTCAAATACACCTGATTGGGCGACGGGCAAACGCAATGCTGAATGTATCGATCTTGATGTACCGTACCGAAGGCTGTGCTGTGCAGCGCCGTGCTGAGTTGCGATGTGCCATGCCTCGATTGTGCTATATAGTCTATAGCATTGTGGATCGAGTCCTCCTTTGCATCCGAGTCCTGACCGAACTGATCTGGATCGTAAGCTCGAGCAGCCTCAGCACATAGTAGCTGCCCCAGAGCTAGATGACAGGGGAACATGCCAGGAGGACGCGCCGCGGACCGTCCCAAGGGACGCGCCAAGCGACGTGCCAAGGGACGTGCCACGAAGGCGCACCACGGGACGTGCCGAGGGGACACGCTATGTACGGAACGTGCCAATGGACGTGCCACGGGACGTGCCAAAGGACGCGCCGCGCGACGTGCCAGGGGGACTCGCCACGGAGTCCTGACCGAACTGATCTGGATCTTAAGCTCGAGCTGCCTCAGCACATAGTAGCTGCCCCAGAGCTAATTGACAGGGGAACACGCCAGGAGGACGCGCCGCGGAACGTCCCAAGGGACGCGCCAAGCGACGTGCCAGGGGACATGCACCGCGGGACGTGCCGAGGGGACGCGCTACGGAACGTTAAAATGCGTGGTCCTTGCTCGGGGCAACCATGTTAGATATCCCCCTGGACGGCCTGGACACCTAAAAACACATGGTGCCAGCTCGGGAAACCCATGCTATATACACCCCATGGACTTGATACAACATGTGGTCTTTGCTCGGAACAATCATGTTAGATACCCCCCTGGGTGGCCTGGATACGTAAAAACACGTGGTTCAAGCTCGGGGCAACCATGTTAGATATCTCCCCCCCCTGGGTAGCCTGGACATGGAAATACATCTGGTTCCAGCTCGGGGCCACCATGTTAGATACCCCCTGGGTGGCCTGCACACGTAAAAACACGTGGTCCAGCCCGCCCAGGGGGGATATCTAACATGCGGTCGTCTGGAGCGCAGGAGGGCCCAGGAACGCCCAGAAGCGCCTGGAGGCCAAAAAGTAAACGACTCGATACCAAATACAAATGAACTCTCGACGTTCCGTTCCGAGTCCCAGGAAGGATCCAGGAGGCCCCATTTTAGATACCCCCTGAGTGGCCTGGACACGTGAAAACACGTGGTTCCAGCTCGGGCCCACCATGCTAGTTACCCCCCTGGGTGGCGCGGACACGTAAAAACATGCGGTTCCAGCTCGGGGCCACTATGTTAGATACCCACCTGGGTAGCCTGCACACGTGAAAACACGTGGCTCCAGCTCGGGACCACCATATTAGATACCTCATGGGTGGCTTGGACACGTGAAAGCACGCGGTTCCAACTCAGGACCACCATGTTAGGTGCCCCCCTGGGTGGCGTGGACACGTGAAAACACGCGGTTCCAGCGCGGGGCCACCATGTTAGATGCACCCTCTGGGCGACCTGGGCACGTGAAAGCACGTGGTTCCAGCGCGGGACCACCATCTTAGACACCCCCTAGGTGGCCTCGACAGATGAAGCTCGGGACCACCGTGTTAGATACCCACCTGGGTGGCCTGTACACGTGACAACACGTGGCTCCAGCGCGGGACCACCATGTTAGATACTCACCTGTGTGGCCAGGACGCGGGAAAACGTGGTACCAGCTCAGGACCACCATGTTAGATGCCCACCTGGGTGCCCTGGACACGTGAAGCGACGTGGTTCCAGCTCGGGCAGAACATGTTAGATATCCTCCTTGTGTGGCCAAGGAAATCCTGGAAAAACAAACGAATTAGTCGAGACGTCCTCGAATTCCTGCGCGCGGGACGCGGCACGCGCGAGACATCCTCAGAATTCCTGCGAGCGGGACGTGAAAACAAGCATTTCGCCTGAGACATCCTTTGAATTCTGGCCCCCCACGAGGCCCCCGCTCGAGACATCTCCCAACTCTGCAAAACCAGCGTTTCGATCGAGACATCCTCAACAAATTCTGAAAAACAAGCGTTTCGCCTGAAACGTCCTCAATAATAATTCCGCCAGCCTCCTTCAAACTCGTCATCTATCGCAAAATAATTCCGCCGGCCTCCTTCAAGTCGAAACCAAAGTAACAACACTAAAAGAGAACCCTGGGCCTCTGCCCTTTCCGGGAAAAGCATGATCGACCCAAGAACCCAGAAAAGAAGATAGAAACGTAAGGCATGGCAACGTTTCAAAGACACCTGATTGGGCGACGGGCAAACGCAATGCTGAATGTATCGATCTTGATGTACCGTGCCGAGGGCTGTGCTGTGCAACGCCGTGCTGAATTGCGATGTGCCATGCCGCGATTGTGCTCTATAACGTTGTGGATCGAGTCCTCCTTTGCATCCGAGCCCTGACCGAACTGATCTGGATCTTAAGCTCGAGCTGCCTGAGCACATAGTAGCTGCCCCAAAGCTAATTGACAGGGGAACATGCCAGGAGGACGCGCCGCGGAACGTCCCAAAGGACGCGCCAGGCGACGTGCCAGGGGACGTGCCATGGGCACGCACCGCGGGACGTGCCGCAGGTGACCGCTCTATGGAGCTGGAGCATTAGTGAGCGGAACGTGCCACGGATGGACGTGCCACCCACGGTGCCAATGGAGGCGCTGCGTCGTGACGTGCGCAGGGGGACTCGCCACGGAACGCGCAAAGAAACGCGCCATTGCAATTGCTAAATTTATCGATCTTGA